CCTTTCTATCATATAATTGGACAGAAATTTGGTAAGGCAGCCTGCCTTACGAATTCATCAAAAAGATGCGTTTAGAGGAATTTAAATTATTCCATACAAAGATGAAGCTTCATTCAATAAAATTTGAACTATTTCAGATCGATTTATGGAATTCGTAAGGCAGCTCACCTTGCGAGCCTACTAAAACCTACTGTTTCACCTTACGAATTCTGTATTATGAAGCAGGGATGATTCATCCCTGCTTTTGAGTGTCCGTTCCTGCTTTTGCACGCTTTCGATAGAAATTAAGAATTTTTTTTTATATATTTTCAGAATCCTCGAAAATAGTTCGGATAACATCCCTGCCTAAAGCGTGGATGGTTTTTCACAGACCACCCCTTAGTCGAAATATAATGCAACGACGTAGAGTCTGGACGAAATATATAGAATGTTCGGCGAACATAACGCACATGGCGTGAATCAGTTGTGCGCCGGACGAAATATACCGGAAATAGCCTGAACTTAAACGAAAAATGGTGTAACGTTAGTATTAATAGTACTGTAAGCATGAGCTACAGGAGATTTACGTTTGAGATTGTTGGCATAACTTGTATCCGTGTCGTATCTTACATAGGTATACAAGTATATGGTCGTATACAAGAGGATATTGAGTGGTAGTCATTTGAGTGGATATGTGGCCGACAATAGGCTTGGATTTTGAAAAACCAAACCTCGATGTAATATTGTGAATTCGCTGTAAATCTCCAGAATTCGGGTGGTTTTCTAATCGACATTGAGTCACGCTAGAAATTCTGATTGGTTGAATATGATTGTCCTTTCAATCAAACGCTCTCAAAGTTGGATTGACCAACAAATAGAGTCGATTTATGCTGGCGAGATTCGATTTCATGGGACCGGGGAACTCTCTTTGTACCGATATCCACAGTAACGTTACAATACATTAGTTATACGTATACTATGTAGATTGACGTTCATGGCTTTCTAATGTATCTAACGTTACAGTACTTATCAACACTGGACTTCATGGCTTACTACACGATTTTTCAATTGACTTGGACATTTTCTCGATGGATTCGGTTGATATACCATTGGATTGAGTGGTGTGCCCATTCGAATGAATTAGTGCCCAATAGATTTGGTACCCACGTTCGGTGTGCCCATTGGATTTGGCACGACCCCCTCGTGTGCCCATTCGATATGCCCATGCGCCTTATAGAATTGGTATGTACCCAACCAAACAACCTTTAGATCATTCAAAAGTGTCGTGCACTCTTTAGAGTTGGCAATTGCCTTTTCTAGAACATCGGAGGGGGTGTTCTACAATTCTCGCGCGCTTTTCGTCACTTTCAAATCTTCCGAGTGACAGTCAACCATGGAGAACCCAGCACCCCAAACGCCACCCAAACGAACGTACAAACGCATTCCGCTGTCGGCCAAGAAGCGCATAGTTGATGCGTTCAATAACGCGGTGGACTGGAAGCGCGTCGCTCAAGCGAACGGCGTCAACATCAGCAGCGCACGAAATTGGCTGCATCTGGGCTCGTTGACGCCGAAACAACGAGGTATGAAAGTCGAGTCTACTCGATATAACATTGTCATGTAGGGGGAAACAAATATCACGACTCCTGACCGAGGAAAACGTCGACATGCTGCAACGTTGGGTGGAGCATGATGTCCAAATCACGCTCCAAGAGATCAAAGATCGATTGGCGCTTGGTTTGGGCATCGAG